GTTAAAAATATGCACCTCTCAAGTCCACTACGGTACTACCTTATTAATACCCCTTCTTATAGGGTGTCCAGACAACTAACATCCTGGACCGAATTTTTTAAAAAAACTAGTAGCGAGATGGTAGAGATATACTTTTCTTATAGAATGGCTCTTCTTTGTACATATGATAATATATATGTCATCAAGAAGTTTATGATTTAAGATGAACAACTACCTTGAGCACGTTGATGCCATTTGCCGCTGCTTTGTGATTTTCATTTCTAGACGCATTCAGAGATGCAGTAGTTGAGTCCAGATTCTGTTTTAATGAGCCATTTTCTTTACTCAATCTGGAAATTTGATCCTGTCAAATGTGAAGGTTCCAATTTGTCAAATGACATGTTGTGATATATACTATCAAGATGCCACTCCATACTGGATGTAAGGCACACAAATCCAATTACAGATACCTCCATCAAACAAGATAAACAAAAAGGATGAAATCCATAATATAATTTCCATTGGAATTCATCAGGTACCTCCTTTTCCTTTAACAATGCGGCATAGTTTACTGATAATGCTTTAATTTCTGCCTCAGATTCCTGCAGCCTCTTAATTTCCGCTTTGTATTGTTCGATCTAAAATAATAGAAAATAAAATGCACAGCACAGTATCATAAAATACTCCCTCTTATAAAAACAAATCAAATAGCAGCTGCAAAAGACAAGGGAGGGGGGCCGGGAAGACGATATGGCCGGAGACCAATGAAGATGATAATCAAATAAAGGGAATGACTCCTCTAACAACTCAACGTTCTCTTTACACATAGATTTTTCAACATGAAGTCAGACTCCAGTAGAGATACATTTAGTGCTGTACTTGTGTCTTAAACAGAATACTAAAATCATGTGCATCTTACTTGTCACAAACTATCTGGCCTGACTTGGGAAAATGATGTTTTAGATCTTATACTTGATGCACAGAAGCCATGCCAAATCAATAAATATCATAGACCTCCTAGAAGTAATGTCGCCACAAAAGTTACATAAAATGTTGGCAACCACACTTTGTATCCACAATTCTGCTTCAAGGCCTGGATCAAGGCTTATTTTACTCAAACTAGTTGTCATACTATGGGTGCAACAGACAGGAACCTAATCTGTGTATTTACACACAATGCACTTCGGTTGTCAGTTTAGAAAATGAATATATAATTTCTTAATTAACAACACTTGCTAACGGGAACTAACCAACCAGCTTACTAATTACCATACATGCTCCCATGAAGGTTCTACTGCTCTCAACCTAACCGAAAATTAATTGGAAACTCGGGCTTCAAAACGAAAATAAACCACAATTTGCAAATCTACCTCCATTTCGAAGTTTGAATTTGTATGCCACACGCAGATGCCGAATGATTCAATACTTCACTAAGATAATAACCAAACTCTCAGCAAAACACACAATTCAAAATCCAAACTCATCAAAATCGAAGCATTTAGAGCTACACAATCCAAAATGCCTAAACAACACAGTCCCAACTCTCCAATCCAAACAAAAATCAAAACCCAATTACCGAAACAGCCAAGTCCAGATAAAAACAATGCCAAACCTCGGGATTAATAAAGGAATCGATGCCATTAGGGATCGGAGAGCGCGAGGGGGACTTGAAATGCGCGAAGCTGTGGGAGTTCCTCCGATCAGAGATGGAAGAAGCTTGGGCTCCATTGAGGGAGGCGTAGATCTCGAACTCCTCGTCTTCGTCGTCTTCGTCGTGCACATCCTGCGCCATCTTATTGAGGTTCTCCTTCAGGTTGGCAATCGTGCTCCACATCGTTCAAAAACCCTCGCAGCAAATATTTAAGCGTATGAATGCGCGTGCGCTTGAACTGGAGAAATTGGGCGCTAAAATTAGGGAAAATCGGAGGTGCTTTTTCTCGGATTGAGAAGAGAACTTGGATTGGACTGGGAATTGAAAATGAAATTCGGCAGATCTAGGAGAGGAGGGGGACCGAAGAGGTGGAAATAAAATCAATTGGAATTAAATTTGTTTTTATGGTTAGAGGACACGTTAATGTAACTTACGAAATGTTGATATTGGCAAGTCACCGCACCAATCAGGCACTACAATTTTCCCACCATTCCACAGGGATAGTGGTTTATAATTATATGATTATCTTGCTTGCGAACGAAAGTGAGAGGACATGAAATGAAACTTAAGGGGATTATCCACGGTCTTGTTTCTTTTGGGCCTGCTATCTGGGGCTAGCAAGCACACATTTGCAGCCCAATGATGATATTTTTTTCTATGATGGGAAGCTTTGGGGAGCTTGTGTGGCATAATCCCAAATGCACGAGCAACCAGCTAGCTCTGCGTCCGAGTGGCATTTCACTCCACCGACATCTTCTCAGCTGATTCTTCAACATCATACTTCATCCAGTACTCTAGCTAACAAGAATAATTTCAATGGAATTGGCATACCTGATAAATTGATGTGCATCACTTGAGTTAATTGAATTTAAGACTTTGGATGCAAAGATAAATGCTCTTAACTACTTGAGTTACAAGCCTTTTGCCAATTCAATTCGATCATAAACATTAAAAATTGACATGAGCGAAAATAGAACTTTGTGAATAGGTCCAAAACTTCTTTTTGTTGCTAAATTATAGAAACGGTCGTTGAATTATACTTGGATTTGTAGAGAGGCGGGGCTAGATGGAGATGCGGGGTTAATTTTGATATTGAAAAATCCTAAAGGACAAATGATGAAAATACAAATTGGAGTATAGTTTAAACATTATATTATAAATACAAGTTATAATCTAAATCTACGTCAATTGAAGATGGGAGGGTTCAAACTCGAATGCAAGAGGGCAGGCTCACTGCCCTAACGGTCTAACCCAACCACATATGCACTATAATTTGTTTTAAAAAAAATAATCGAAAGGAAGAGTGAGTTTGGGTTATTTTCCAAAAATGTATTATAAGAAAATAAAATTTCGAAAGAAGGCATAATCATTGGACGGCTCCTATAAAATTAAACAAATAATAATCATTGGACGGCCCGGATGCATTAGAAGTCCAATCCTTTCCCTATATGAAGAGCCGGTACGCCCAGGAAATCCAAAGTTCGCCGCGCTCTAGGGTTTGCAATTCTCTCATCTAATGCCTCCTCCTCACCCTCTCGTTTATTGTCCTTTTATTCGATTAGTATTGTGTATCCTATCTGAAAACAATGGGGATGCGATGAAGAAAATAATTCAGATGAGAAAAACTCATCGATTGCTGTTGCAAAATGAATAGCCTATATGGTTCGTATTCACTGAGCATCATCATCTCACTATTTTCTTTATTTTTTTATTTTTTTGCTGTTAAATATTCTCTAACCAACCGAGGGACCTATGGAGGGAGCGCGTAAAAACGGTGCGCTTTCAGCCAAGTTTGCCTTCGAATATTGTTCTGAAATCCGATCGCCGAATCGCATGCTTGTATTTTGGGGTTCGGTTTGATTTTCCGATCGATTTTTTCATACATTGATTATATATGAATTTGAGTTGAAATTGAAAATTGATGCGAAGGTCCCAGCGGAGGGGCAAGCTACTCAGAAATGAGGCCTCTCTAACATTATCAATTAAACCTTCGCAAAGTCACGCCAAATCGTACGACGCCCAGATTTCTCTTTCACTTCTGTGCGTCTTGAACCCTTGGCTACATTTCTGTTTTAAAAAATAAAAAATAGATGGATGCGCATTGTTTTTTGGGATGATGTTATTTTTGACGAGCTTGGTATTTTTAAGGAGGCACTTCAAAGCAGCATTTGGACAAACTTTGATATGCTTATTTTTAAACGAAGAAAGAAAATAACCATCGATGCCCATAATTAAAAAAGAATACATCCCAAGAAGCCCTAATAGTATAGCCGACCGGCTATACTATTTAACTCTCTAAAATACAGCCGAACGGCTCTACTATTTAAATATTAGAAAATATCAAAGAGTATAGCCGTAATATTCTAATATATTAAATAGTACCGCCGTTCGGCTATACTATTTAAATATCTAGAGTATAGCCGTTCGGCTATACGTTCGGACGGCTATATACATCTCTAAAGTACAGCCGTCCGGCTATACTATTTAAATATTCAAAAATATTAAAGCGTATAGCCGGACGGCTATACTATTTAAATCTCTTATGTATAGCCGTCGGCTATACTACTTAAATATTCTAATATATTAAATAATACAGCCGCGCGGCTATACGATTTAAATTTCTAACGTAGCCGGCCGGCTATAATACTTAAATATTCGAGTATATTAAATAGGACCGCTATATTATTTAAATCTCTAAAGTATACTTAAATATTCGAGTATATTAAATAGGACCGCTATATTATTTAAATCTCTAAAGTATACTTAAATATTCGAGTATATTAAATAGGACCGCTATATTATTTAAATCTCTAAAGTATACTTAAATATTCGAGTATATTAAATAGGACCGCTATATTATTTAAATCTCTAAAGTATACTTAAATATTCGAGTATATTAAATAGGACCGCTATATTATTTAAATCTCTAAAGTATACTTAAATATTCGAGTATATTAAATAGGACCGCTATATTATTTAAATCTCTAAAGTATACTTAAATATTCGAGTATATTAAATAGGACCGCTATATTATTTAAATCTCTAAAGTATACTTAAATATTCGAGTATATTAAATAGGACCGCTATATTATTTAAATCTCTAAAGTATAGCCATAGTATTCGAATATATTAAATAGTATAGCCGCGCGGCGATACCATTTAAATCGCTAAAGGACAGCCGATTGGCTATAAGAGTATAGCCGGTCGTCTATACTGGTATAATCTATTAATATTTTAATAGTATAGCCGCACGGCTATACTTCACTATCGGCAGAACGTGCTTACAAGGTTGAAAGAAAGAGTTTCCTAATTGAGAAGATGGACAAATTAGGCTCAACGAGAAAAATAAGAGACAATTGCTCATAAATTACTCTGACTCGTAAAGAAAATTGACATGTTTTTATCATTAAGCTATATCATCATCATCTGCATTACAAAATTGGAAAAAATCATTTCTACAAGAAAAATAACCTAAATCCCAAGTCCATCTTTTTCTGCAAAATCTGCCATCGGCACTGACTGATTCAAGCTACAGCAGCGGAGTCATTTAGACTGCACCAGGTAGGATGCCCATATATCATCCGCTGGAGGTGGGGGTTGAACCCAGTGTCCCGGTATGCGGCTGCACCAAATTTAACAAAATTATAAGCTTACAAATCATTTATTTAAAATCAAAGCGTATTGGGGATAAACAGTGATTAAGACACTAATAATGGCGCTGGTGATGTATGCTGCAGTAGTAGATTCACAACTTAAGTGTGAAGGCCAGGCACTATTTGTAAGCGAACATCTCAACAACTCTCAGAAGTGCACTTGAGTTCATTATCACAATTATCCTTTCCTCCCCTATTTTTTTATTATTGTCTTTTCCATTTGCAAATTAAGAGAAAAAAGTTGCCAAAGGCTAATTAAATGGCGCGTCATGATAAAGTAGCAGGAAATAATTCACTCACCTTCCTCCCGGTCTTATATAGGCATCCCATGTTCTTCTCACCTGCATCCAGTACAGTCCTCATTATAATCAAAGACCAGAATAAAAGAGATGATAGTGTGCAAATGTGATCAGTTAATTAGACTTTTCTCATGTTGATAAAAATAATCAATGGCCCTTGAATAGGCAATCTACATAACTAGGGGTATTTTGCACTTCAAGTTACCTCAATAAGGGTGCCCATATCAGTGTTGCTACCATGATAGTAGTGATAAAATTCAATGGGTAAGTTCGCCACAGCATCATAAGCTCCGCTATAACCCTCTCCCTGTGAAACTTGTTTCCCAGGCTCCTTGTTAGTGACTGCACTAGAGGGCACTGCATTAGTGATATCGCTGCTTTGATCTTTGGAGTCAGGTCTGAAATTCTCGGTTGTTTTCCTAGATTGCTCAACAGTTGCTATGGCATCCTTAGCAGCATCCATGTCAGCTGCCATGATTACTTGTTGTTCCTCTTCCTCCGCTGCGGCCCGTACTCTTTCAAGAAATTTATCATCCTCCTCAGGGAGAAAATGACCTGCATAAATATGCAAACAGCCATAAGTTAGACAAACACAGTTGGAAGATGATGACGATAATGCATGCTTGTGTGTAATATATTTGGTTGTATTCGGATATATATACACAAAATTTCACTCTAAATATAGTGTCAAACAGGCACCCTAAGATGATGGTGCATGATAAAAGAACTTGATTGCTAAACTATCTACTTACACTTCACAAGACATACAAGATAGCCATCCAAAAGAAAAGAAAAAACCAAAAAGACAGCAAACCTTGTTTCTTCAATTTTTCAATCCTGATGGAACGCAACTCTTGCAATTTCTCTACAATCAATACCGTCTCAAGCTGAAATATGGAATCAATTGTCAGCGCAACACATTTTCTAATTTTTTTTAAGAGCAGCTGAGCAACAGTACTAATTTATTACAAAACAAGAGCATTTGAGTTGCTTATGATTCTCACCTCAGATTCTAGTCTCTTTCTCTCTTCTTTTGCTTTAAGCTTTGCAATTTTTCCCATGTCCTCCATCTGAAAACCCACATGCCATACCTCCATTACTAATAAACAGAAGCCAAGAATGACTGAAACATATGCAGCTTAAGAGAGACATCTCAATACCTTGCGTTTAGCAATATCCTTGGCAATTTCCCTGGCTCTCCACTCATCAGCTTCTCGATCAGCTTCTTCGAATCTTTCGCGCTCCTGTGCATCACCAAAGCAATAAAAAATGTAAGCAAATTAAACCAATTAAGCACTTTCTGCATCCCAATTGGAAATGAGGAGGGAAAGGGAACAAACCAATCCACCTTTGCACTCATTTCTGCAATGCGCTTCCTCTTTGCTTTTCTCCATCGTTTATTTCTCTTGCACTTACGTATTTTATTCGATAATCGAAGTGCCGCAGATTTTTCCTCCCATGGACACATTTCATGAGTGATCGCTCTAAATGGAGCAAGCTCAACTCGTAGTTTAGCCATTAAAGCATTTGCAGCTTCCACTGAAAGGGACACTTGGGACTCCAAATTGATCCTCCTCTCTTTCAAAAATTCAGAAAACTCACTGACTGAAGCTCCATCATCATCCTCAGCTCGTTTACCATCTTTGATCAACCTCACCATCTCAAGCTCTTTCTGCCTACGAATTCACAAAATCGCAATTCAAAAGTTAAAATAAGTTCCAGAAAGCTCCTAATCAATTTGAATTTAGAATGATCAAACGCTCAAACTCGTACATTGCTTTTGCTAGACGAAGAGTGTCTTGCAAGTTCTTGAGCCGCTCACGAACATTTGAGGTTTCCCAGAAAGTGCTCGTCATTGGAGGGTTGGGCGGCACCATTGGAGGCCACGGAGGTGGGGGTGCTGCAGGTTGGTATGGAATTGGATTCATGGCTACCAAAATTTGCTGAGAAAGAAACCCTAAGAGGGAGAAAAAAAGGACTGATTACGAAAACAATCCCCAACGAACGAGAGAGAAGGTTTTACCTGTTCGCGCCGCAGGCTAGTACGATCTAAAATTAAGTCTTTTTTTTTATGTTTATATATAATACACAGTGATTAGTTACCAACAAGGTCAGGATGGCCGAGTGGTCTAAGGCGCCAGACTCAAGTTCTGGTCCTCGAAAGAGGGCGTGGGTTCAAATCCCACTTCTGACATTATTACTTTTTCTTTTTTATGACACATTACTACTTCTTTTATCCTTCTGTTTTCATACTTTCGATAGGGCCAACCTTCAAAGGCTTGAAACGCTTGCTGGTGTTGTCTCTTTTTGTGTTGTTGGAAGTCCTATTGTCCCTTTAAAAGTCAATTTGAGATGCAAATATGAATTTAAATTATGTAAACTGTTCATGAATCATATCCCCAATAGATCTACATTGGGAATGACTTATAACTTTAAAGCAGGAGTCTTCCCCTCTCAAAAAATAAGAGAAAGCATAGAACATAACTGGAATGATACGATACGACGATGATCCGGGTGTGATGAGATTTGTGAGTCATGATGTACAGTTGATCTATTTAAAAGGATTTGTTGATAATAGCTATCTGGTGTTGTTTTGTTCACTGCTTAGATAATGTGTTGAAGGTTACGCATTACTGCAGCTCCTCCCTTTAACATCATGCAAGGATTGCCTCCTTTCCAATTGTTAGTTAATGGAAGTTTGGATCTCTGAATTAAACACAGAAATGTAACAGGAACCCCTAATGGTTAGTTGATAGATGGTTGTGTTGATCATGAAGATGGGGGTGAAGGAAATTGGCATGTCCAAGTAGCTGCAGCATAAGCAGGAAACTAGATGTAACATAAACTGTTTTTTCTTCAGTCAGAAAGACCAGTTCTCCAACACAACACCATAGAGCATGAAAGCAAAGATGGCTTCTTTAATTGTAGCCAATAAAATGAACAAAAATCAGGCAACGTCAAAATTTTCTTTCTTAATCAATCAGGACATTTGGGAGAAGGAGAATTCGAACTTAAGATTTATTCCTTGGAGGAAACTGATTGAGAGTAGGCTTCGTATCATATGCACTGGTGGATGAAAAGGAATGCTCAGGAAATTACTGAAATTAAAAGGTTACCGAATTGGTTTAGAATACACAAAAGAACTACAAAACCAATAGACAGATATCCATCTCCAAAATTTGTATTGGTATCCAACTTGATAATGCACATCAACAAAAATTAAATCAGTATGTTATTGAGGTCTAAACAGAGGGAAACATATATAAATCAAATACCGTCCAAGGGAGTGCCAAAAAAATATCAAATAGCAATTGAAAGACCTGCTGAAAAATTTATCTCCATCCTAGATGCCCCAACTTATAAACAGATAAAGGTAATGTGGGGGCAATATCTTGATGAGCGTCAACAAATCTCAGCCATGGGTATTAACAGCTTCCCAGGCCAAGTTCTTCGGGATTGGAAGATCCATGTCCCAAGCCTTCCGGGCAGCAGACCTTAGAAGCCTAATAGTGGTTACATTGGCATCCCAGAAGGACAAACTCTTGTAAGGCAAATTGTGCTTCTTGCATAGGTCCTTCACGGTAGGAGAAATCTTCCTAAGCTGGGAACGGGGTAGTCGGGGGAACAAATGGTGCTCAAGCTGAAACTGTAGCCCACCATAGAACCAGTCCATCCAACTTGAGCAAGAAATATCCACAGTACCAGCTGTCTGCTTCTCAAACCAATCATTCCCAGTTGGTGGTCCAAGATAAGTATCTCCGGTGAAATGGTTCAAAGTGAACTGAATGTGCTGAAGTGCTGTCACTGCAAAGCTGGCAAGCACAAACATCACCCTCTCGCTCCAATTGGGCAGACATGAAACAAGGAGAGGAAACCAAATCCAGAAAACAAGGATTCCCAATATGTTCAAACCTCTATCTGGGATGCTTCTCTTCGAGAACAATAACAAGAAGGTCTGTATAAACAAGTTAACCCTTCCAACAATCATGATAGGATAATATGTAAAATGCTGGTGGCTGACTAAAAATCTAGCCACAGGATCAAAGGTTAGCTCTCTTCCATAAAAGACTGATGTTATTGAATGAAAGAATTTTGTGGACACTGCAAAGACTGGCATGTGTTGAAGATCAGGATCATAATCAAGGCTGTTGCAGGCAATATGGTGGGCATTGTGAGTCCATTTCCACCAAGCAATACTGATCCCAGTAAGGCAATTTCCAGCCACAAACTGAGCCATTTTGTTGTAGGTCCGGCTCGACATGACCTGGTAATGGCCAGAGTCATGACCCATATAGGCAGCCTGAACCCAGAGGACCCCCAACAACAAACCACAACCCAAATGGACCAACACACTCTCAGACTTCAATACACCATAGACAACAAGGGAAAGCATTACCACAAGACTTATCACAGAGTAAAGAGCCCCATGCCCTTTGTTTTCAAACAAACCCAATTGGTTAAACTCTGAAGCAAGTTTCCTATAGTCCTTGGACACCTCTGAGATCTGGAAATCTTTTAGATAATACCCAGTAAAGAATTTTCCCAGGTACTGCCATGCGGAGGCAGGATGGTATGCTATGAATCCATCAGTGACATCTTGGCCAGCCATATTGAAGAGAACGGCTTCCCCACCTGGGTGATCTTTGGCCCAATCAGAGACATTGTAAACCTTACCCTTGATGGAGATCCACAAGTCCCCAGGCTGCTTGTGCAGCTTCAGCTGCTCAACAGTAATGTACTTCCTCTCACCCTCCATTATGGCTCAAACCCTATAAAATGGCAATTCAACAATAAGATCCACAGATAGATCGGCCAACATAAACAAATCAAACCAAGACAACCCTTTTGGATCTCGGTTTGATATGCACTCGTAAACAAACAATTAGAGCAAAATAGAGCAAAACTTTGCAGTTTAAGGCCAAATAAAGAAGAAAATACAGACAAATGAAGGTGAAAGATTGAACCTTTCTTCTAGATTCAAACGCAAACAAATAGTTAGAACAAAATACTGCAGTTACAAGGCAAATGAAGAAGAAATATAGACAAAAAATAAGGTGAAAGATTGAACCTTTCTTCAATAGTCAGTCAACTCACACGCTCCCAGCAAAATATCTTCCTGACTTCCAATCAATAAGACTAAATTTTGAACGGGTTTAGACCACTTTCCAAATTTCCTCAACTGCCCCAGCTTTGGTTTTCAGACTTTTCAAAACCGCCCCCAGGATATTTTTGAGCTTCTGCTTCTGCGTTAGAGCGGTAACGTTAGTATATCCAAAGAAACCCACTGAGAGAGAGAGCAACGGATTAGAATCGGCCTCGTATACAACGACGCGCTATGTGCAACTTATATTTTCGCCACAGCTGGTATCGTTGACCGGTCAACAGAGGTAAAATAACGGGGGAAGTTGAGCGCGTTATACGACCGTCGGGGCGGCTCAGGAACTGAAGAGTTATGTGCGACTTCTCGAGTTGAGAATATTATGTAAAGTGGAACTTATATGCTTTTGCATTTCTCGACTTGCTAAGTTACATCAAAGAATTGTACATTAAGACTTGAGGACTTGTGCAAGAGGCCCCTAAGATGAAAATGACATGGATGTGATGGCAGATGTGTTAGGTTTTAATTTTATTTTTTTCAAGAAAAACTTAATGGCGAAGCTTCTGAACTCTAAAAAATTGATTTAAAATTCGTAAATTTAGTCGTAAGTAGAATTTAATTTTATGTCCAATAATTAAGGTAACGTGCTTGACTCTAGTGGGTTGAGCCTGGTCCCATGGTTAGGCTCATATTCGAGTTGCATGACTTTCATGACTTGTTGGCTTGTGAAATAAAAACTTGTATTACATATTGTGAAATTGAACCACAAATTTCAAAAGAATATTTCCCTTAATTACACTCTTTTTTATTTCAAATCAAATCATTAGTATGGTGCAAGAAGTTAGAGGAAATGCCAATAGAGGCCTGTTAAACTATTTTAAATTCTAATGTTTGTTTAATTCTTACATTACACTTGTCTCCCATGCATGGGGTTGGGTACTAATATGAAGTGTAATATCTCACTTGAAGACATGGAGAACAAGTATCTTAACATAGGATCTCTTTGTTAAATGTTAGGCTAGAGTGTATTTTTCTTTGGGAAGAGGCTCGTTGAGCAGTATTTGGTGATTTTATTATTTGAGTGTGGGACAGAGTCTTTATTTTCTTTTTAAATTTGGACTTCTTTAAAATAAAAAATTATAAATAGAACTTAGAGAAATGCCAACCTCAGAAAAGCTAATTACACATCTGTTTGAAATAAAGCCATGGAGATTCAAGAATCATTGGTAATTTGATATTAGGGTTTGGCATTTTATCGGATATTCAAATTTGAGAAATTTGCTTATCTGGCCTTGGATGGAATCACATGCCCCTGTGCTGTTTGTGGGTCATCATTGCTATTTTATTACCAAACTGAGTGCTTGGGTAGTGGGGAAGCATCAATATGTAGAAATTTAATTGTTTTTTTTATTTTATTATTATCAATATTAAATGATTATTCATGATTATTAAAAGTGTTATAATGGCCAGCGATGGACAACCGCACATGGCAAATGTCAATTATGGGGCTGAACTTGTCCTGCTTTTTTCGTACGATCTTCTTTTATTGAGAGGAACAATAATATATTAAATTCACATACTAGGTGAATGCTATAATTTGAAATTAGAACTTTACTTAGATGAACAATTACTTGAAATCATTACACTAATGGATTCTTTGCTCTCTATATGCCATTTGTGTCAAGCTAACACCATCATATTAAATAAATAAATAAAAGAGGGGGTTTAAATAAAATATGACGACATAAGACGAATGAACTGTTAAGGCACAACACACCCTCAATGCATGTCGTGAGCCATTTGTCACATAGCCAAAAATATGCATTCAAAGCATGTAGAAATCAGAACCCATTCCTATGTAAAAGAAACACTGGAAAAAAAGAAGAGGAGAGATTCATATAACATTGGACTTGTTTTGTAGAAACTGTGAATTGTTACAGGACTGAGAGTTAAAATACAGCCCCAGTTAATCATGTAAAGTCAATTTCCCTTTCTATTTTCTTGTGGTAATTTGTGATAATTTGCAGATTGTGATCTGCAACTCAGTTTGGTATGGTAATTTTCACTATAATTTACAGAATCGCTGTGCACAAAAAAGTAGAGACAAAAAAATATTGGTGAAAACTACATGGGACCTAATAATGTGTACTCAATATTTTAGAGGATGTGGAAATCCCATTTTAATTTTGCCTAATTAAGTAGTTCTTTGCGTTAATCCTCCCTCATTTTACGGTATCTACAATTAGACATATAAAAGAGAACGGAAAAAAAGAGTACGATAGTGATTTTCATGCTCTTATTTTGTCCGTTTGCCCTCTTATTGTTTTTATGTTTTAATAATCTTTTTGTTTGCATAATTTTCAAAGCATAAAAATAAAAAAGAGGAGTTCAAATGGATAAAATGGAAGTGTGAAAAAGCTACATAAGATGTCTCAAATATGTGAGGATGTGGTCTAGTATGCCGTGTGCGTTAATCCACAACCATTGATAATTTGATACAAAGGAATTCAGGTGAGAAACAAAGTGACTTCGCAGCCACGCACTCTTCCACAAAAGTACAGGGTGTTGCCATCAGAATGGGGATAATTTTCTCCTATAAAAAGATCTGTTTATCAAAATACTACAAGCAAGCAGTAACAAGAAAAATATTACAGATACTAGCTAAGCATACATTATTCGAGTGTATAATGGCACCAAAGTTTGTAATTTCCGTAGCATTTCTCATTTCAGTAAGCCTAGCAGTACAATTTGGAGCTGATGCCGCAGGCATTGCCATCTACTGGGGTCAAAATGGGAATGAAGGTACCTTGGAGGAAACTTGTGCTACAGGCAACTATGAATTTGTAAACCTAGCTTTTCTTCCAACCTTTGGCAATGGCCAGACCCCCATGATCAACCTAGCTGGACACTGTGATCCCTACACTAATGGCTGCACTGGCTTGAGCTCTGACATTAAATCTTGCCAAGCAAAAGGGGTCAAGGTCATTCTTTCAATTGGAGGAGGAGCAGGGAGCTACTACCTCACATCTAAAGAGGATGCTAGGCAAGTTGCTACTTACTTATGGAACAATTTCTTGGGGGGAAGCTCTTCATCTCGCCCGCTTGGTGACGCTGTTTTGGATGGAATTGATTTCGACATTGAAGGAGGAACAAACCTACATTGGGATGACCTTGCAAGGTACCTCTCTGCATATAGTAAACAAGGTAAGAAAGTTTATTTAACTGCAGCCCCTCAGTGCCCTTTTCCAGATGCTTGGGTTGGGGGTGCCCTCAAGACAGGCCTTTTTGACAATGTTTGGGTCCAATTCTACAACAACCCACCTTGCCAATACTCTTCTGGGGATCTTAGCAACCTTGAAAATGCATGGAAGCAGTGGGTTTCAGATATTCCAGCTACCAAGATATTCCTAGGACTACCAGCTGCCCCTGCAGCTGCTGGAAGTGGCTTCATTCCTGTGGCTGATCTCACTTCTAAAGTGCTTCCAGCAATTAAAGGTTCTCCCAAGTATGGAGGGGTCATGCTGTGGTCCAAGTATTATGATGATCAAACTAAATATAGCTCTTCCATCAAGAGCAGTGTCTAAATTAAATTCTGAATCAGAGACAATTTTAGTTGTTGTGATGTTTGTGTAATTCTTACATATATCAGTATTATGCATAAATACATAAAGAAACATTGTGTGTTCTTGATGCTTATTTTCTTAATTTTCTCAACTAAACTTTGCAAGAGGCTTATAACTCGAGTGGTTGAGAGTATTTACTTCTACACCCAAGACCTGGACTTCAATTCCGTCTCCCCATTATAGTTTGTATAAAAAAAAAACACTAGAGTCCATATATAGAAGTCCAAATTACAGTCATTGATATACACTGGAAAAGCTTTCCAAAGTCCAGGAATGTTGAAATCTTACATATATGATATCATGCCATAATAATTATTATTGACTTTTGAAAAGGTTGGTGGTTGCCAACACAAAGAGATTCATATGTTTACTAAATCTTGTACATACAACCAAGAAATAATCAAATGGTTATCCCTATTTGTAATTTCTTGGTATTGAGCATAATTCAAAAGGGGAGTAAATTTGACATCCAAACCATTCGAAGCTGTTTTTACAAGTTTTTTTTTATCAGGATGAACCAAAATTTACGTAGTTGTGTCGAAGCTTTGATACAAAATAGAGCACTGGAAAGCGACATTTTGTCAATCATTTGAGCACAATCACGAAACCAAGTAATATTGTCGGTTTGTCCTTCAGTCAGATCAGGTGGAAATTTCTCCACTAAGGTCATCTTCAACCATGGAAGGCAAAACGAAAGAGCATGAAAGCGAAAGATGGCCTGCATAAATTGTGGCCTACAATGAATAAAATCTAGTACAATACAACCAACTTTTCCCTTTTTCTTTTTTTAAATTAAGGAGATTTACTATTATACTCAATATATGAGTCCAAATTATAAAAAACTCTATATGAAATGGATTTTAGAAACACATATAAAGCCCATTTACAACATAACAAAGAGACTTTAATTTTTTATAAATTACAAAATTGTTATCGATTTCTTAAAACAAATTTAACCCTAAAACCTTATAATAAAACCCAAAACGCTAAATAGGACATCAAAGTAATTTAATAATCAAAATTAAATTTAATAGGGACAGTTGTCATTTTTTGAGCTTTTTTACATTTGTTTATGAAAATTAAATGATTTAGAATTTATCTTCATCATTAATGCTAAAAATTGATATGTAACTAAATATCTTTTTAAATTAATGTAAAACATTAAGAAAAGGAAATTGAACTTGGAATCTTTCTTTGGAAGAGAGGTTTAGTTCTAATTACTAATTAGCCCCTGGGAAATAGGCAACCTTGCCGTCTGCTGAGGCAATGCCTGCACCAAAATTCATAGTACATTTGTCTTTGCTTACATTATTTTGGAGGGACCCGAGGTGTCGCATCTGGGGTGGGGAGATGGTATGCACTCTGAGAGAGCTTGAGGGGGCGGAAAAACTTATATCAAACGGAATGTTATACCATACCATCTAGAAAAATTATAACGCGTAACATGGAGTGATTGGCTGAGAATAACAAACAGTGTTATCTCATCACACATTGACTAATTCACTTATCCCAAATTTCTTTTTGTTGTCCTTTTGCCTATGTTCATACTGTTTATGGTTGACTGGAGATATGAACTTTCAGTAGCCATATATGCTAGTGAAAGGAAAAGAATTGGACAAGAAAACACATAAAAAAATTGGGAATGAATTTGCCTTTCATCAAACTAGTATCTGTAATATTACAAAAGGCCTACCAAATCAACAAACACAGAGTTGCATGGAGACACATCTCTATATAATCTGTATTAAAATAAAAAACATAAAACTGCAAATCAACCAAAAGTTAATACCTTTGTTATACTGCAAGTTTAGACACATAAAACATACAGAAATCATATATTCCAGAAGAGAAATGCCAAAGGAAAAAAGATAAGAAATCTCAATTGACAAAACCCAGCTGATAGATTAATCATCTTCATCCTAGATCCCCCAAAGTTGTATTGTATAATAAGAGAAAGGCAATGACTGTGGGTGGGTGGGGCAGTTAATATATTTGACAAGCCACAGGAAATCTCAGCCATGGGTATTCAGAGCTTCCCAGACTAAGTTCTTTGGGACAGGATTGGATAGGTCCCTGGCCTGCAGGGCAGCAGTCCTTAGAGTCCTAATGGTGGACTTATTGGCCTCCCAGAAGGACAAGCTCCTGTAAGGCAAATTGTGCTTCTTGCATAGTTCTTTAACAGTAGGAGAAATCGTCCTCAGCTGGCAACGAGGCAACCTGGGAAACAAATGGTGCTCAAGCTGAAATTGCAGGCCACCAAAGAACCAATCCATCCAAGTTGAGCAAGAAATATCCAAAGTCCCCGCTGCTTGCTTCTCAAACCAATCATTTGATGTGGGTGGTCCAAGATATGTATCTCCTGAGAAATGGTTCAAGGTGAATTGGATGTGCTGAAGTGCTGTCACTGTAAAGCTGGCCACCACAAACATCACCCTCTCATTCCAAGTGGGCAGGCATGAAACAAGAAGAGGAAACCAAGTCCAGAAAACAAGGATCCCCATTATGTTCAAAGCTCTGTTTGGGACATTACCCCTTGAGAACAATAACAAGAATGTTTGTATGAACAAGTTAACCCTTCCAACCACCATGACTGGGTAATATGTAAAATGCTGGTAGCTGATTAAAAATCTAGCCACAGGATCAAACTTCAACTCCCTACCATAAAAGATTGATGTGATTGAATTAAAGAATTTTGTGGACACTGCAAAGACTGGAATATGCTGGAGATCAGGATCATAATCAAGGCTGTTGCAGGCAATGTGGTGAGCATTGTGAGTCCATTTCCACCAAGCAATGCTGATCCCAGTAAGGCAATTCCCAGCCAGAATCTGAGCAATGTCGTTGCACTTTCTGCTTGACATGATCTGGTAATGGCCAGCATCATGACCAATATAAGCACCCTCAATCCAGAGCGCTCCCAACATCATACCACAAACCAAATGGACCAAAACACTCTCAGATTTCAACACACCATACACAACAAGGTGAAGCAGGGTTGTAATGATCAGAATAGAGTACATAGCACCATGCCCTTTCTTTTCAAACAAACCCAGTCTGGAAAACTCAGAGGCCATCCTCCTATAGTCCTTGGACACCTCAGAGACCTTGAAATCTTTTAGATAAAACCCAGTGAATAATTTGTCCAGGTACTGCCATGCAGTGCCAGGATGGTATGCTATGAATGCATCAGTGACATCTTGGCCAGCCAAATTGAAGAGAATTGTATCCCCACCAGGGTGGTCCTTGGCCCAATCAGAGACATTGTAAACCTTACCCTGGATAGAGATCCACAAGTCCCCTGGCTTGTTGTGCTCCTTCAGCTCCTCACACGTAATGTACTTCCTCTCTCCCTCCATTGCAGACCAAACCCAACAACAACAACAACAACGAGAATAACAAGAACAAAAGATTCACAAGAGAGAATGATCAATGACAAAAAAACAAAAACTCTCACAAATCAAACTGAGATATCCCTTTGCTCATGGGGTTTGTTTTTCTTTTAAAGAAAAAAAACAACCCTGTTAAACATGGGATATCCTCAGATTTGATTTGGCTTTTTGGATCTGTTTCAAACTCTAGCTCTATCTCAATCTCTCTCTCTTTCTCTCTATTTTCTGACTTTTTTCCCCCAGTGTTATTCTTTTTCTACCATGATTGTTCCTATGAGATTTTATATGGAACTAGGAGAGGTTGAGAGGTTTGAGAGGTGGAGTTTTGTTCTGTCCAGCGAGGCATGCGGTCCAACGTCCATACCATATCAGAAAGTTTAATAAGCTACGGACACGTCGGCACACGACCCCACATTTATAACCAAATCCTCTAAATTTACAAAAACCCTAGTGCACGTGATGGACACGTGATTTCAGCTGTGCAGCAGAGCCTCTCCTTCCTTAAATCAATTCTGAGCCTTCGGTTTATTAACGTTTGCGCGTTTTGTTTTTTGGTTGCTTTAATTTTAGAGTTTTGTGGGTGTGATGGTTTGGTTTGGAATGGGCGCCGAGGCTCGCGGCTCACATGTTTACGCGTAGCGGGAGAAGATAACGAGACGTTGTCTTGTTTTGAGCATAGCCGAGGACTTAGGTAAGGGCACAGAGCGCACCACGTCTTTCTTGCACGCAGCACCAGTGAAGCAACTTGCAAATAAAAGCTTTTTTTTGTTGTTGGAAAAATAGGACCAATTATTTCTAGGATTTATTTATTTTTTTTATTTTTTTTCTATAGAGTTTTGGTTTCTTTACAGTTTGAGAGGATTTTGGAAATGCGAATATACTTTAGGATTATATTCGTACTAAAATATAATTTGTTAGAGAATAGTACACTTTTGGTGGTTCAAGTTGAAGATATTTTTGTGTCGGCACCTAATGCTTAGCGGAGGCATAATGATGTGCCACCAAAGTGAAAAATAATTATTTTTCCCAAAGTCTTCAGTGTTCAAATTAGTACAATTTTTATATTCAGGACATTGAAAAATGTACGTTCAGTGTTAAAATATTCAGGATATTTATTAGGATGTCTTTATCTGTTTTTCTGTCTGTCGACACAAGCGATAAATTTGTATATTGAAATCTAATCCGATCTAATTAAGTATAATCCAATCTATATTTAAGGTCAATTTGGCATTACTGTGTTGTGAAAATAATCGTTGTCAGATTTGCTGTGAAAGAAAGCAGTTTGGAGTTTGGTAAACTTTTTGTTAAAAATGTTGTTGATACTGATTCCCTCATAATCATTAAATCCATAGCCTTTTCAAAATTGATAATATGAAAGCACATTATTAGGTGTTTTTCCTTATAGTTTTCTCTCACAACAATTTTTAATAATAAGTGATTTTCTCATAATTTACCAAATGAGTTGAGCTTCCTAAAAATGTTTAAAAATCACTTATCACCTCAAATAAAAAATGTCAAACGGGTACTTAGATTAGATCGATTCATTTCAACCCAAAAAAAAAAAAATCTGTAAAATAAATTAAAAACTATACAATGAAGTTCACACTTCTTCTTTGGAAGCAATATTACAATTTTATTTCCATCGAGTTCAAGTAATGTAAGCTTTATATAAAATTCTTGCAACGTAGCTAACAATTAAAAGACATCAAACATATCCATTCACCAACCATTACAACACAAATGTAGAGATTGAGATGAAAAACAACGTTATTGTAACTTAGCGTAAGAAACATGACAAGCTAGCGTTGATTGAATTGGTTCGGTTTGAATCGATTTTCAACACTCTAAAAATCAATATCCAATCTAATTAAGTTGGATTTTTAAAATCATAATTTGAATTGGTTTAATTTGATTTGGTTTTATGTGTTGTTTTTTCTTCAATTTTTGTTAATCATTAATTCGTAATAGATGCGCGGACGAGTTAACAATGTCTTTTTTATGCAAGGGGTTTATTGCTCAAGTGATTGAAAGTATTTACAAACGCACTCAAGGTCTTGTGTTTGATTTTCCCCCTTCTTCAATGTCGCTTAAAAAATAAAATAAAAAACTCTCATTTCTAGATACAAACAAATTTATGAAGAAATCTCCTTATACAAACTTTATAGTTATTGTACAAAAACGTGGCAGCTTGCATGTGTTACCTTCGTATTTGGAAACTTCATGGCAATTTCTTGCCGAATATAGTAACATATATATATATATATATAGTAATCTGAAAGCAAATGCACAATATTCCAAACCATACGTTTTTTTAAAATATAAAACTACACTTTAAATAGGGGAAAACCATGTTTGGCAAGTCACCTTAACAACAAAGTAAACCAATGCCATGTTTGGCAAATGGGCAGCTAATAAGATTATAAGTGGACAGAGTCCATGAAAGCTACGTATTTGTTTTTTATTTTAAGTGGAAGCTACATATCGTTAGTCTAAACATATGGTTAATCCATCATCCGAAATGACAAGGATGACAAGGATGGACAAGGAAATAAGTTAACGTGAGGTTTGCATTTTCTTTCATAAAAACGATTTTACAATAAATAAGTTAATTGCTCGCGCTTGTGTGGATAATTATAGATTCTTTATGAAACATTTTAGTCATATATCTATCATTTACACTAATAATATAGATAAATCTTGCACCATTTAATTTTTATAAACAAATCAAAAAATGACAAATGACCCTATTGATTTTTATTTTGATTATTAAATGGGAGTTTCACTAAAACACCCAAAATGGGAGCTGAAATTATAAAAAAACCCAACACCCAAAACACTTTATAAACACACCCAAAACCCATCATTACACACACTCAAAACCCATTTATAAACACACCCAAAAAATATACAATTGTTGACTTTAGGGTTGATTTTGGGTATGTTTCTATGTTTAAATAGTGTTTGGATTTTTTTATAAATACATGTCTAGGATTGGGTTTATTTATAAATTTGTATTATTAAATTCCTTTGATGCTCTATTGAGTGTTTTAGATTTTTTTAAGGGAGTTTCACTAAAACACCCAAAATGGGAGTTGAAATTATAAAAAAACTCAAGCACTATTTAAATATATAAACACCCCCAAAACCCATCATTACACACACTCAAAACCCATTTATAAACACACCCAAAAGTTGACTTTGGGGTTGATTTTGAGTGTGTTTCTATGTTTAAATAGTGCTTGGGTTTTTTTATAAATACATGTCTAAGATTGGGTTTATTTATAAATTTGTATTTTTTTAATGAGGTTTTGGAATTGGACTTGTTTTAAAAAATTGATGGCAGTTTTATAATTTATAAGAAGTTAAAAGTCTTTTTATTTAATTGTAAATAGATTTTAGATGTGTTTTTAAAATTTATTTTAAATAATTTTTATAATTTGTGACCCTAATATTTGCTATAATAGTGAATTTCCCGTCTTGGGTACATTTCATTAAAAATTCCATACCAATTAGCATTTTTGTCGCATCAGACCTACCTTAACAACCGTGCACTTTAGATACCTGCATCATGCTTTTAGGGTCTTGCATTGTTTTGAGGAGTTTTTGACTCTTCATTTATTAGATTATTTTTGTTTTCCATTTCAACACACATCTCTCAATTCTTATTTTTTATAATACACTCACGGACAGAAACTAGGAATTTTACAATGGGTAGGTTAACTAAAGTTATTAGTTTAAAATTTAATTATTATTATTTTTTTAGTACTTAAAGTTTCTATAGTCTTTCTAGAAATAAAAGTAAACATTAAATCATATAAACTGCGTTAGTTTATAGCTCCATTAACTGATTGTCAGTAAACTTTAACATAAACTAAATAGGATTTAGCACCATAGTAGTAAACACATATGATCAAAATAAAAATACATATTAAATGCAATTGAAAAACACATATGATCAAAATAAAAATACGTCCAACAACGCAATTGAAAGTGAACCTATTTTAATATGTACTTTTATTCCTGTCCTTCAACTAAATTTATAAAGAATTAAACTTTTTTGGACTTTAAGTTAATATATATTGGACTAATATTGAAAACAAGTTAAATATATATGTTTTATATTTTTTTCCCCAAAAAACCTCACTGGGCTGGGCTGTAGCCCCTAGTGTGATCTGCCCTTGAATACACTTGGAAGCAACCTTTGAAACTACTATTTCTGCGTGCTTAGCCCTTAGATGGTCCGCCTTTGTCGCAATGCTAATTTTTCCCGGCATTCCATAGTAGGATAGGATTAGTTGCCAGGCCCATCATAGACGTGTTGATAACCACGTCCATGAGTTTTGATACCCACCAGATAAATCGCGAAGTTTTTCCTGATTGTTACCAAAAAAAAAAAAAAAAAAAAAAAAAAAAAGAGTTTTACCTGACCGACAATCGCCAGTTTTTTACCCTTGTTTTTTTTTTTGGCAAGCAGATGCTACCTGGAGAGTCCAACATGTTCCAATGTCAACAATTATATTTTTATTTTAGGTGAAAAGGTTCTATCTTTCATGTAAATTCGTTGGCTCAACAAGTTCAAGTTATCAGTTTTCGGCATATCTTTCGTGAAGCAAATTTGGTGCCAGATGCTTTGGCAAATGTTGGACATAAGTATGCTCAGCCGCATATTTGGTTCACTAAGCTTCCTTTTAATGTTGCAAAAAAAAATAATAATAATAATAATCACGTGAATTCATTTTCACAAACCATACACTACTTTATCAACATTGATGACACATCTAATTTTCATGTGGATTGGAGAAAGAAAGAACCCATCCTGGTTCCAAACCAGAGTATTTCGACAAAACTATAGCACCCCCAAAAGAGGGCTTAGTATACCTGGTCCTGGGATGGGGTAGCCCCCTCCCCCTAAACTTTTCTTCATTTTAAAAAAGAGAGCACTAAATAAACCTTTCTTCAAACAGCAGCTTCTATAGTCAAAATATCCAAAAAAGTGTCATGGGCTCATGGCAGTCGCCACTGGTGCTCAGTTTTCTATAATATGATACTACAATAAGATACATTATTGGGGAGCTTGTAGTCATCTCACACTATACAAAGTATACAAGGGTTGTACAATAGTTCAGTTGAACTCAGAATCTTCCTAGCTTTTACTGATTAGTACAACCTATAGTTGCTAGAGCTAGTTACTGACCTGAAGTCTGGTAGTACCTTTGTCAATTTGGGCAACATGTTGCGATCCGAACCAACTTTTTCGTCATTGAAGAAGAAGATGCCAAGCTCTTGCTCAATATGTACTCTCAACTATAGCGCAGCATACGCCAAAATTTTGACATCACCATGTCCTCTTTGAGGATGAAGATGAAGTTTCAAAATAGGTTGGCCTTGGGGTTGAGGGGCAGCCAAGAGATTGTATTATATCCGCTACAGCCAGAACTTGAAACTTAGGAGGAGAATTGAGAGCAATGTTATCAACGCGATGCTCAAAGATCTTCCCTTTCTTGTCAAGTTTGTACTCAGAGGTTCCATCAAATCGACCACGACTATCCCAAGGGACTCGTGGAATGCCATGGACAGTCCAGCGAACCATTATTACATTGTCCATGGGCTGCCATACGCTAATGACATCAACCCACAAGGCCTTGAAAAACATCTTTCCATGGAAACGCAGTGCCCAAAATATAGACTTGTAATTCTCAATGCCCATAAACGTATTGATCGGATCTTTAAATGTGATATCGTCCCTATACATAATACAGAGCAAATATTAGCATACTCTACAACAAAATCCCACGTGATATACAGAAGCTTTTATGGGGAACAACATTACGAACATCACTCATGTTTGCAAAAGAGCTAAAAGAAATGGGAAGGCAGTACATGCATTAAAAGTACAAGGCAACCGAATACCACATTCGTGCTGCATATTTATGCACATAGATTACTCTACAGCCATCAAAAAGTACTGGCAATCTAAAGCATATGCACAACACATAACTTAGATTCCAACATCTTGTTTCAATTGACATATACATCACTATGGAGGCATCCTCTGACAGAAATAAATAATTAAATAAACATCAATGAAGCCAACCCCTAATATACTGACAATATTGTAGCCAAACCCAACTAAGGCATACATGAGCTCCTTCCGGAGACCAAATTTCGTCAGACATACAGGGTCAAAATTCCTAAGTTAACAACATATATAGGGGTAACCAATGATATTACAACCTAAAGTTATAAAGGGTAAATGAAATCAACTACCAATATACAAACTACCACAGTCAATCTAAGCAATAGAATTGAACTATAACCATGAACACATACCATCATGTTGAATTCTTCAAAAAGACTTGAGCCTCAGTTGGAGTAACATTTCGATTGCAACTTAAATTTTCTTATTCTCATGTCACAAACTACAGAAAGCACTCAAAGTTTTTTGTTTTTCTCAACTTTTCCTAGGCAACCAAACAGAAGGTACTGCAAAAGCAATAAAATTGAAACTCATAGATTGCTTAATTGAGAAATTTCTCAATTAAAACATACAACAAAACAACAAACAACAGCTTTCTTTCTTACCCTACATTTCTCAGCAACCAAACAAAGAGTAAATGCAATAACAAAAAGCAAACCTGTAAATATCGAAGCTAGGCTCTCTGTAAAAGAGCTCGGGAAACTCCTCTCTCACAGTCCGAATCGCATAGCCCATATTCACATAGTAATTCTGCTTCTCTTCCTCTTCTTTGCTCGGCTTCGAACCTCGCTTCACTGGTGCTGAGAACTGGCCATACAATCTCACATTCTGATCCAATTCCGACATCTTGACCGTACAATCTTTAACTCTGGAGCAAACCCTGACCGTCGCCCTAGACTTAACCCCAAATTTCTCATTGTTCGTCAAGATTTTAAACCTTTTAAGGCTAGGGTTAGGGTGACAAAGGACTCTGGATATTTCTGGTGAAGGAATGAGAATCACCATTGGAAAATTTCAGCACAAAGTGACTTCAAGGATTAAAGAAGGCAAGAAAATGCCATTTTCTCGAGAAAGTGGACGAGAGAGTTTGTAACATTAGGGATTTTATTGGCTGAAGAGAAAACGGAAAATCTGTTTGGATAATATTAAGTTTTGTTTTGGATAAATTGGAATTATCGGTTAATTAAAATGACTAAAATATGTGAGTGGTCGTTGGTACACACGTGTTATGCAGCTATGCTACAATTTTTATTTTATTTTTATTTTCTCAGTATATTTCCTATTGAAGAGCGATAATATATCAAACTCACACATACTCGAACTCATGATCTTGTCTGATATGGCAACCATGGGTAAAAATTTCTTAGTGTGACCTGAGCACAATTTGGAGAGAATCACATTTGAAAATAATTTTTCTAAAATCCCTTTTAACCGCCATAATTTTCCCGAATCTAGTCTAATGACATCAAAGACAAAAACTAACAGCATGACTCTCTTAAAGAGACTAAGAACACCCAACAAACTCAACTAAGTTTTTGGAATCATGAGAAAGAAAAAACAGAAAACTCGTAGAGTTTTTGGAGTTTATTGAACAAACTAAACCAAAATAATAATAAAAAACTAAAACAATGTTGACAAAAGGAAAACCAACCTCCGATAATCTTCCTTAGGGGGATGACATAGAGAGCGCCACCTAATTACTCCTGGGCCTCAACATACTAATAAGAAGTTGATCTACCATGACCAAGCCGCAACGCCTCAAAGAGCTGCGTTGCAAAATGAGTACAACCAAAGGCAACACATATTCGAGACAACATATCTGCCAAAAGAAGAGTATATCAACATAGGTCAACCAAAAACAGAAGAACAATGAAGATCATATGGATATGGGGGAAAACCCATATATCTGAAACGTTTTTTTTCCCCCTTCTCTCTCTCTTAGCGACTAGGGTTTTCTTGTTATGCTACATCTTATTTTGAAGACAACTTCACTTTTTATTTTGGGATTTTCACAAATAGACTCATTCTAACATGACATATTATACATACCATTTATATAGCCTATTTGAAGAGAAAACTCAAAAACTAGCCACTTGTCATTTTCTAATTAGTTCTTAGTGTGTTAAAATTTTATAAGAACCAATTAGAAAATAACAAGTGGCTAGTTTTGGGTTTTCCTCTCCAAATATGTTTTATATGAATTTTTGTATAATATGTCATGTTAATATGAGTTTATTTGTAAGAACCTATTTTATTTTTGGGAAATATCCAAATGTCTAGTGACTCGTTTTAATGTGATAAAATTTTCCGACTCAAATTCACTAATTTTATTCTAATTTTATTTTTTGTGTGTTAAAAAAACTCACATATTCTATAGGAGTAGGCATGCCTACCCCAAAAAGCCAAAAATGACTGAACCAGGCCGACCGATCATATTTAATCCAATATTACCTTTTGTTTGAACTAAACTCGGCATGTGGATAGACTAAATAGCTTAAAATAAAAAACATAACTAAAATGTTGGTAAAGACGACCCAATGGGATTTGACTTACTATTTGTTTATTTCTTTCAATATACGTGATATTAGAGGAAGGAGAAATGAACCTAGAATCTTAGATGCAGAGATTAACATTCTTAACCACTTCAATTAAAAATCCCTTGCATGTTTGTTTATATCTTAACCATGAGTCCATGCTGAAATTCATATGCTATACAAACTTCTAGAAGAGACATACATTCCTTGGGTGGGTTCAAAGTCTTGGATGGGCTCTATATATAAGTTAAAACATGTTCATATCACATGGCAGTGGGTGCGAAAGTGTGACATGAGAAAATTAGGTAAATTTTATGAGGGTTGACCCCCAAAATTTTGCATGCTCTAATGTGAACCTGTGATAACTTGAAAGAATGTGGGCAGGAGCTTAAGAGAGACATCCCCATGAGCTGGATTATGGCTTTTTCTAACATGCCACCCCATGACTTTAATTTATTCTCAAAGTAATATTGGCTCTCTAGAAGAAGAGCCAGCTGCCTTTTACCATTTGTTTAGTTGAGGCTGGCCTTGTTTTGTTTTATGCCTTGATTTGTTTTATAACGGAGTATATTATGCAACAGAATTGTGTTAAGATTAGTCGTCCATAAGAGTTTTTGCTTATATACTGTTCATCGGGATGCAATCATGCAAACCTTGCATGCATTGGTGTTTGATGTTGGAGGGAACATTCAGGGCATCATTAAGCAACAAATTTGGACGGAAAGTTCTCTTTAGTTGTGCCTAGGATCTCGATTATTTCGATCATTGCTATATGATGGTGGCTGAGTGAGTGCAAACCATGATTGCTATCATGATGACGTTTTATGTTGGCTAGATCCTCCATCAAGTGCTATCTTTTGTCAACGTTGTGAAATCTGCACAACATGATATCATGAACCAAAATTGCATTTGTATAAGAAAGAGAATCCCCAAAAAAAAAATAAAAAAATAAAAAAATTGTGTTTCGTGAAAATAGGACTTCACTTCATATTCTTATTTTGGTTTTTATTTTAAAAAAAATTTAAATATGAAAACATGTTAATTTACTATATTATCATTATTAAATGATAAGTTTCAATGTGTAATAATGAACCAAATGTAATTTTTGACATTTTGATTGTTTTATCATTCTCTACATTTTACACTATATATAAAATGGATTACATGGTTCATATACACTATTGATGCATGTGATCACACGAGCGTGGGAACATTCCTCTTATCCCTAATTATTAATAAAGCATAATGAATTATTTAACATTTTTAAATATATTGTTCTTACTCGAAATTTACTACTAAAAATCAATGAAGTGGTCCTAATACCTTTTGATTTCGTTGATGTTTATTAGCCACTAGCCTCTTGGCACATGTTCACGCATGTGCCAATTGATTTTATTTTTTATTTTTTATTTTATTTTTAGAAGAAGATTAATAATTTCAATTTTTAATGTTTGAATTAACCAATGATATTTTTTGGTATTTTGAATGTTTCACTATTTTCTGTATTTTGTTTTATATATAGAAGATGTATAGATAAATAGAAGAAAAAAAGAAAGAAAAAATATCAGGCTCATAGCGAACAACCCACCTCTGAAAGCGACAAAATCCTTGCCGTTAATTAAATTTTCCGAACCGCCATCCATCCATGATCCATCAACTACTCCAGTACATGTGCGCCACCGGTCGCGCCTCGCAATAAATACTCTGTCATTTTCACTTGCATTTAACTCCAAAAATTAAAAAATTAAAAAACCCACCTCTCGTTGTTGCTTCCACCACACTCTCTCTCCCACTCTCACCAAAACCTAACCCCCCAAATCTAACCGCAGCTGTAATTACATATTTAATTGTATTGTCTTTGTACAAATTTGTAGTAATTGATCGTTGGAATTGGTCTGGTTAGAAATGGAGTTGGAGCAGTCCGGGCCGTTCAACCCCGCGATGACCTTCGACGAGGTCTCCATGGAGCGTAGCAAGAGCTTCGTCAAGGCCTTACAGGTTTTTATTCTCGCACTTGTAGATCTGAAATCATTCATTTTTGGTTGATTGGTTTGTTTGTGGTGCGCGGTGCATTTATGGATTGCTTGATTGAATTTCGCTACTCAGTGTTTTTGTTCTTAGTTGAGCTCTGCTAGGATCCTTCAATTTGTGGGGCTATTGGTGTCTTGCTTAATGAGAGTTTGAGATCCAAAAACTTCTTACTGTCTGTCTGCGTAATTTACACCGAGCGTTGGTTTAAACAGGTTTAGCTTGAATCTATTGATGTTTTTGTGTTACCTAGAATAATTATGTCAATGCATTGTGCTTGGTAAGACAGTTGAGGTTCTTTATGGTATCTACTGTTCTATTGGCAATTATTTTTCCTTTTATTTTTATTTTATAATTTTATATATTGGTAATGATTGAAATCATTTGCATTAACTTGGCATTAGGTTTTGGTATGTTAGAAATTGAATGAAGATTGCTGAATGACTGAAATCATAATGTTTCTTTCTTAAAATATATCGTGTGTTTTTTTGAATTTTCTAAATTGCCACTACATAGCTGTATTGGGTTATTTGGTGCAATAGGTGTACCTTGAAGCTTTTGTTGTTCCTAGTGTCTCTCTTAATAACATCCATTGAATTGATGTGGTTATGCTGTTTGAAGAGGAAAATGTTTCATTTTTATAATGGTTGGATCCTTCAATGCTATGTTTTTTTTGGGTATATATCTCCTCATAGTAGGTTTATTTCAGGAACTCAAGAACTTAAGGCCTCAGCTTTATTCTGCTGCAGAATATTGTGAAAAGTCTTATCTTCATAGTGAGCAGAAGCAAATGTAAGGATCTTTGTTTTCACAAGTTATGGTTCTTTTTTTATGCATATAAAGAGATTTAGTTTCATTGATCAAGTTGTGAGAAGAAACATGATGCTCTAACATGTCCCACATATCTGGATGCTTTAACCATGGCTTGTCTGATTCAGTTATACCATGATGTTCTATGCTTTTCGCTGCTGAAATTGATTTAAAAATTATGTATTAGGGTACTGGATAACCTGAAAGATTATGCTGTGCGGGCCCTTGTTAATGCTGTCGATCACCTCGGCACTGTGGCTTACAAATTAACTGACCTTCTTGACCAGCAAACCTTAGATGTCTCAACCATGGATCTGAAAGTTACTTGCCTAAATCAGGTGAGTTTTCACATTTATCTAATGTTAGAATAGAAAGGGCATCAAATAGATATAGCTTAACTTAACAAACTTTATTTCTTAATGTAGAAACTTCTTACTTGCAAAACATACATGGATAAAGAAGGGTCGAGGCAACAGCAGCTGTTGTCATTTATTCCGAGACACCACAAGCACTACGTTTTACCAAGTAAGACCAAATATTATCAACTTATTTTTGGACTTGCCATTTTTTAGATGAGTTTTTTACATTTATGTCCTTGTCTGTCCTGGCTAGATTCTGTCAATAAGAAGGTACATTTTAGTCCACATGTACAGACTGATACTAGACAGCATCCTTATCAAGCAAGAGCGCATGTTCAATCTTCAAGTATGTTACTTTCTGTTGGATGTTTGCTTTCTAAGTCCAGTTTTAGCTGGGCCAGCTTAACATTGGATTTTACATTTTCTTCTTGTGCACAAATAATGAGTCTGGTGTTTCCACAATGTGTAACATTTAGGTGCTGCTGCATCAAAAACTCTTTCCTGGCATTTAGCTTCAGAAACGAAGTCAACCTTGAAGGGGACTCCACAGGCTATGACTAGGTAATTCCTCATTGAAATAAGAAGCTTGCATTTGGTTTCAGTGGGACTAGTAATAATTTGTTTTCTCTTGATGTATCTCTTGCTCCTGATATTTCTAAGAAAGTGCAAATGTTGTTGCATTTCCCTTGTGCAGCACTGGAGACACAAAAATTTCTGCTAACACTTCTGGAGTTTTCCATCTTTTAGGTATGTAGAATTGGAAAGTTATGTCATCAGATCACCTTGTCATGTTTCAACGAGCTGTAAATAGATAGTTTTACTAGAGAAAGGATAGTTCCTTATACTTCAGCTAATATGAATGTAGAAAATGAAGGGAGTAATCCTACAAAATCCTCGGCAACTCACCTTCAGCTAACAAGTGGAGTTCCTGCTTGTGGTGGGGCCATGCAAACATTGGGTGCTGGACACAGGGTACACTACGCTATCCTCCAAGTTCTCATCCCAGTATTAAAAGATGAGGAAAATTTGAAAGCTGATGTGAAGTTCTTTTTCCTTGCAGGAAGCAGTGGATGGTCAGAGACCAATGACGACATTCAGGTCATTTGATAACCCAAACCGGCGTGAGATTGTGCGTGTCCCTGTTCGCAGCAAAAGTGTGCTATCAGCTTTCTTTGCCAAACAGAAAACCATGAAGCTGAAGACTGGGTCTGTCTCGTGAGACCTCATTAAAACAAGTTAAAGATGCCACTACCTGAACATCTCACGTCATGTGGGTCAATTTGCCTGTAAATCCTTCCTTTGCATTTTGATTTCGAGCTTTTCCTTCGGCCATTAGTTTATCAATTGCTTGAAATCAAAATTCTTTTCCCACTCGAAGCCTCTCACTTTGGCTGCTTAATAATGAGCAAATTGTGTCGTAAGTCCTGTAATGAAGTAGTCTGGGAATGTCTATTTGTAGAATGTTGCACCTGATGAATGATCATTGGTTACATTAGTTTCTAGTACATTACCGAATTTCCATGTTGATCCGTCTTCAACCAGCCGTTACCAGTTTTAGGGCACACCTATGTGTAAATATGTGTTGCAGTATTGTTCACTTCTCTCATTCGAATTGTTTAAAGATGTGTAAATGATTATGTGTTTCTTTTACTTACTCCCCAAAGCACTCGAAAACTATATGGCTGTAAATTTTATTTGCTTTTGGTGATGATGAAAATTTATCACCAAAATTCAAATGACATGTTCCTCGTTAATGTAAATACGTATATTTATCTGCAAATCCCAAATCACACATGCGAGAAAAAAAAAAAAGTGGAAAATGTAAACTGGTTTAGTAGTCCTGCTGCTGCTTCGCATTTATCGACATGACGTATGAGCTTCTTCCTCCTCCCCTAGTACTCTACCTGGCTAACTTGGTGAATTTAACATAAGACGACTTGTCGTTTGACGAAAAAACACCGACAGATCCAGTGTTAAACTTGTAAATCCAAAACGACTCCAAAAGGCAAAATCCTTCCTCTAATCTAGCCTGTGAACCGTGATCTGCGAAGCCCCACACCGACTGAGAAACACTCTCAGCACCCTTGTTAATTTTTACATCTTCAGTTTTTCAACAATAATCTCATATTACGATACGAGTTACCTTCCTCTTCAAACTCGCACCCAAAGACACTATTTTCAATTCAAAAGTGCAAAATCTATTGAAAGTTTGCATCTTTATATATAAAACAGAGCTTCTGCATTAATGATCCCATTTTGATGTTGTTTCCCTCTGAATTTCAACAATTTCCAAGAAACCCATCAGAGATTTTTAGCCATATATTAGATTGAACCATTTGATCTCAACTTATACTGCTCTTCTTTGTTTCAATTTTGCTCCTTTAATCTCTGAAACAATGTCGTCGTTCTTGTACCAAAGACCAATTCACAACCCACTTTCAGATCCATACCCAATATCCCCGCGCTCATCGTCAAATCCTCAAAAATCGTATTCGATCTTCAGCCCCACAACGCTTCTAGTCCTTCTCTCACTCATGGTGGTCATGGGGGTCTTCTTTCCCTGGGTGGGCATGCGAGAGAGCCTAGTCTCAGTCACCAAGCCCTCAATCTCAAAGTGGCGGGACTATACATTGGCTCAAGCTGTTTCATTCGTGGCCCAAAATGGGACTGTGATTGTTTGTGCTGTGAGCCAGCCTTACTTGCCTTTTTTGAACAATTGGTTGATAAGCATTACCAGGCAAAAGCACCAGGACAAGGTGCTTGTGATTGCTGAAGATTATGCTACGCTTTATAAGGTGAATGAGCGGTGGCCGGGCCACGCAGTGCTTGTCCCACCTGCACTTGATTCTCAAACTGCCCATAAGTTTGGTTCTCAGGTATAATTGCTGATTCTAACTTCTGGGTTTGGCTTAATTTGTTGTTGTATTTTGAAGTTTGAGATTATTATGGTGTTGTTAAAGTTGGTTCATTGAACTACTTGACAAGTAGACTTTGTATTTTCCACTTGTAAAATGGTTGGTTGATTTTTAGCACGACAGCAATCGTACTTGTGGAAGACCTCATACAAGTAACACTAATGCACTTATGCACTAATGTCATTTCCCGCATATAAGGTGTGAAACGCCAATGAATTATTCCTGTCACAGCATTGGCACAGTGAGGAAGGAATTTGATGTGCAAATTTCAATGATCTTCTTTTTGCTTCCCACACTTACCTAACATCTTCTGCTTAAGTTCTTGCAACTAAAACTGAAAAATAATTTAATTCTCAGGTTTTGCCTCCAGCATATTGCTCCCCACCCTTCTATTTTTTATTTTTATTTTTAATTCCAGTGCTTCTCTTGGCGTTTATCTTTGTCTCCTGTGGACCTGTATATGATTATTGGAACTCTTTGACCTTATGAATTGTTGATTTTTGCCTTTCAAAAGTGATCTTGATTGGTTTCCTAGTGTAGGGATTCTTCAACTTTACTTCCCGAAGGCCACGCCACCTGTTGCACATTTTGGAGCTTGGATACAATGTTATGTACAATGATGTTGATATGGTCTGGTTGGCTGATCCTTTTCCCTATTTGGAAGGGAAACATGATGTGTACTTCACAGATGATATGACTGCAGTAAGTACACTTGTATTGGTTTTAGCTGTGGACATGTGTTAAATTTTAAACAGATGCTAAACATGTGTTGTCTAAAATTTCATGTTCATCAGTCATCAGATATGTTCAGCAATCTTGATTGTTTGTGCATTCTTTGATGGATGTAGTGTTTTAGGTGTTGAGTGGATAGCTGGATATGTGGTGATATCTATTACTGCAGAGATATTTGCACTTTTGTTATATTTTGTAAGTAATATTTTCTATTTTGGTGACCAGGTCAAACCTCTGAACCACTCTCATGATCTGCCGCCTCCAGGGAAGAAAGGGCGCACTTATATATGCAGCTGTATGATTTTTCTACGTCCAACCAGTGGAGCAAAATTAGTTATGAAGAAGTGGATTGAGGAAATGAAAGATCAACCGTGGTCCAGAGCAAAGAAGGCCAATGATCAGCCTGCTTTTAACTGGGCACTAGACAAACTTGCTAACAAGGTATGTTCACTTTAAAAGTTTTTCTCGATAGTTCCCAACAACTGGTACAATAATTTTAGGCCCCATATGGGCGACAATCAGTTGATTATTTCATATTTTCACAAGTTCTTTAGATCCTTGGAGTGATTATGTTTATAATTTTCTGCAGGTGGATCTCTACCTACTGCCGCAGGCAGCATTCCCAACTGGAGGGTTATACTTCAAGAACAAGACTTGGGTGCAGGAAACTAAAGGGATGCATGTTATAATCCACAACAATTATATCTTGGGTTTTGAGAAGAAGATAAAGCGCTTCCATGATTATGGTCTCTGGTTGGTTGATGATCATGCCCTCGAGTCCCCTCTTGGGAGAATATGAGATTGAAAGATGTCATGGATATTTGTTAACATAGAAGCTCAGTTCTATCGAAGCCTGCAGGAAATGCTTCCTACCAATTTGTCTGGCCTTCCTGCATGATGGTTTTTGTAACTCACTATGAAGGGGAATCTGGTGTTATCGGCCAACTATTGTTCTGTACTGATGGTTTGTTCAAAGCAATGAATATGGATCAAGAATAAGGCAGGATGTTTCATTCACATGTTGATGTTTGGAAGGGGATAGCCTATACAACGAGGTCTACAACATAAATCGATGCCTTGTGCCCCTTTGCGCATATTCTTGACTAAGTTTTTTCTGTTGAAATTCCTTTTTTGTTCACAACCTTTTCTGCGGTGTAACTTCCCATTAGTTTAATATTTGTCAAATATTCCAGATATTTATTACATTTTTCAAAGGGCTATATATAAAAGTATTGTGGATAAACATAAAGATGAGAATTTATTCTTCTGGGATGTTATTATTGCTATGAATTTTTGGATACTGATATAAACTATACACTTTCATACTGGTATAAATTCTCTAAGCCGCACAGCGGATAATCAAAGAGAATAAGGAACAAAAAGAAAGCAGCAAAGAGAAGGACATCTTTTGATTCCTTTCCAAACGAAGGACAAAGAGGAGTTGCGTTTTGTTTTGCTGATAGTCAAAGCTGAGTCAAATTAGTCAATTAAGCATTGAACTAGAGACGTGACAAAGGAGAGGCACTCGTTAAGCACTTGATAAACACTTTAATAATTTACATGAATTATGTTAGTGGCAGTCTCCGTGGGCATGGTTGACTCCTATCTGTTTTGATTTCAAGCCATTAATGCAAGCGTGGGTTCATTACATTGATGTATGAAAACCAACTGCATGCGCGTGAGTAATTGTCTCAAATATAACGAGGCACTTGCCTCGGAGACTATTTCACATGAAACAATAGAATCAGGATTCATAATGAAACTTCCTAAGAAATCAAAGCAGATCACTTGTAAAATGTCTCGAATTGTTTGCGTTACTGCATGTATGTTCAGTCCACCTCCTATTCAATTGGTAAATCAATTTTAAAGAGAAACTACACAAACTGTCCATCAAAATCTGCCAAAGTGCAAAAGCTTTATTCAAATTAAAAAAAAAAGTGCAAAAGCTTTATTCAAATAAAAAAAAAGTGCAAAAGCTTAAAGCTACCCTTTCAGTATTAGGAAATTAAGCTCTGAATGATCTTAATTTCAGCCACTAGTATAAACTATTAGTTTATGAAACATAATTATTGAGAAAATCCAAGCCAAAAACAAGAATTGAGATTGTGTGAAGTGGTAACGTAAGATGCTCATAAAATAAACTCGATTTCAAAGGGGGGAAAATTCCTAATTGCCACTCTCATGTAGGATGCATTCATGTAAGACAGCTTGTCAAGATATTTTCTCCTGGAAAAGAAAATATACAATAACCTTTGGTGCAATTATGCAGGCCACACCAAAATGGTCCAAAAATAAATTGGGACCATTATAAAGAAAAAAGGGAAAAGTTCTGAGGACATCTTTTTATTTATTTATATATAATATTTTTAATTTTCTTTTGAGAAATTCTTAGGACATAGACTTGGGGGGTGAAGTATTTTGTAATTTTGGACATAAGAAAAAAAGGAACGTACAGACAGACAATTTACCCTAATGAGTCTGGATTTTGGCCCGAGTTTATAGCTCACAGGCAAAGCAAGCAATCATCTTGTCGTGTCCTGTTATTATCCTTTTCTTAGATCACAAAAAATCCAACTTATTCCTCTCCAAATATTTCGTTAAACCTTAAAAAATCGCTTTCAAAGTCCACGTCAATATCAAACACCAACTTCTCATCTTCACTGCTACAGCCCAATCAATCTCTGACCTCTCTTTTACTAACTTCACAAGCATCCTTTGCAAAACGCTATCCCCAAAACCCACACCCTTTAAGAAGCGTGTCTGTAAGACTGTAACTTCGTGGGGTTTTTATCCTTGATCTGATTCTTTTAGAAATAAGCTTTGATTTTGATGTGATCGTGTGAAGTTTGAAACTTTTTCATTGTAAATTGATGGGAAGCTAGCTAAAATGGGTTCTTTGGAAAGTGGGATTCCATTGAAGAGAGACCCTCTTCTTCGGTCTTCATCAACTGGTAGAACTGAAAGGCACCCATTTTTACAGAGACCCAGATCGAAGTTTTCAAGGTTTCTGCTCCTCAAGAAGCTAGATTACCTCCAATGGATTTGCACTGTGGCTGTGTTTCTATTCTTTGTGGTTCTTTTCCAAATGTTCTTGCCTGGTTCGGTGGTTGAAAAGTCAGGGGATTTAATGAAAAATGTGGAATTGAATTCAGAAGATTTGAGGTTTTTGAAGGAGTTGGGTTTGCTGGATTTTGGGGAGGACATAAGATTTGAGCCTTCAAAGCTTTTGGAGAAATTTCAGAAGGAAGCTAGAGAGGCTAGTTTGACTTCTGCTATTAATAGGACACGGCAGCATTTTGGGTACAGAAAACCTCAGCTTGCACTGGTGAGTTTTCAATTTTTGCCGAACTTTTTCCCTCGTTTATTGCTTTTCAGATATTGCGTTTTGGTTTGGCTACTTGCACTTGTAATGCATTACATATGAAGCTTTGTTGACTTATTGGTTTCTATATGACTGAGTGCTTATTCTGTATCTCCACTAATTTGTTTTTCTTTGTTGCCCTTCTGCTTTCGTTCTTTTACTTGGAAGGTTTTTGCAGATCTGTCGGTTGCCTCACAACAGTTATTGATGGTGACTGTTGCAGCTGCTTTGCAGAAGATTGGATATGCATTTTCGGTAATTTGACTTCCATACCTTTGAAAAATGTAACTTCAAATTTAGCGATAGCTTCATACAGTCATATGTTTTCATATGCTAATGGTTGCAGTACTGCTATTATTCCTTCCTCTATTAGTTTGTCACCAGGGACATGCAGGTCTTATGGATTACAAGTAGTCTTTTTAGCCATAAGTATTTACATTCAATTCTGTGTTAAGCATAGATTTACTGTCCGGATCTTTTTATGCATAATTGCACGAGATATATATGATGGTGTGTTGTGTCATGTGGTTTATAATTGCAGGTTTATTCACTTGAAGATGGTCCTGTGCATGATGTTTGGAGAAGTTTAGGAGTTCCGGTTACCATTATCCAAACCTATAACCAGTCAGAGCTCAATATAGACTGGCTAAAGTATGCCTTTCATGCTAATTTTGTTTTCAACGCAACAATATTGAATGTCCTTGTGTTTCTACTCGCACAAATGTTTTGTTTGGTTGACCTCATTTGGAGAATCAATGAAATAATGCTACAATTGAGCTTCATTACTTTTCATGAGCCCTTTTGCATCTTCTTAATATTATCAAGTTTAATTGTTTGTATGCAGGATCCTTAATACTATTTACTTTTGAAGTTCAGTTAGCTTTAGTATTTCATTTGCTGTATTGGGGACGAATCCACTCACATCATGATTCAAATGTTTCGAATGAATTACCAATTTGCCATGATTATTTGAATTGTTGTGAGAAATGTAATATCACTTTAATTTCCTGGGAAATTTTGTGACTTGTGACGATGGATGTTATAGGGATTGTGTTTGTTTTTTTACTTTTTTTCACTGGTTGCTCAATAAGTCAATATTAATTAGCATGGTTCATTATATTGGATCTATTAAATGGTGGTTGAATCTGATCTTCATATATGTATCTTGCAGTTATGATGGCATACTTGTGAACTCTATTGAAGCAAAGGGCATCTTTTCTTGGTACGATATATCATTTAGTTACGTAAAAAATTATGATACTTCCTAATTTTTGCTGTCACTTGAACTTGTTGCTTTACTTTCCTCTACTCTCTCTCTCTCTCTCTCTCTCTCTCTCTCTCTCTTTCTTAATAGCTATTTACTCAAAAAAGGATCTCAAAATGCACTAGCTTTAGGCCCATGGGTGTGAAACCTCCCAGGTTCAGGAAAATTATATTTGGCCTTTGTTAGGAGTGCAATTGCATGTCGAGATTGCAAGAGAAGGTTGTAGAGATACATTACTCCTTGATAGCAGAAAAGCTTTTTGAAAATATGTATACGATTGAGAGATTTCATAGGGCAAGAATATAATTTATAGAGAAGCTGTTAGATTTCTTCTTGTGATGCTGTTGTGGTTTTCTATGAACATCCTGTGATCATCAACAATATTGTGCAAACTTCTGTATCTGTATATTTTCATTATGAAAACTCTTTATTCCTTTTGTCAGTGGATGGGATTTCCTAACTATGCAACAGCTGTTCATTTCTATCTTCTTCTTTTTCCTTTTATGGGTAAATTTCTGTAATGATTTGTTGAATTTTCTTAATATAAAAAAGCTGCAATACACTTTCTGTGGTCTGCAGTTTGCTTTTCATGTATATTTCTCAAATTTAGTTGATGCTTTGGTGTTTTTCCCATCAGCAACTTCTCTATCAGCCAAAGTGAATGATTTTACTTGTTACAGTTTTGTGCAGGAACCTTTCAAGTCTTTACCTATACTATGGACCATCCATGAACAAGCGCTTGCTACTCGATCAAGAAAATACTCTTCAAATAGACAGATTGAACTCTTTAATGATTGGAAAAGACTCTTCAGCCGATCTACTGTTGTTGTCTTCCCAAATTATTTCCTGCCGGTAAGATTCAGACAAAGTTTGATTTTATAGCACTTTGAACATATTTATCATTCTATCAGGAGTTAAAAGGGTGATTTACTATGCCTATACTAATCCATGGTTCATCTGGACATCTGAGTGGCCATTGCTGGCCCTTATTTAGAGCATTTGGGCTCAGTCCCCGGGACACCTGAATATTGAGTGGTGATCATCATCCAATAAAACCAACAATATCTATAGAAAAATCATATTTTTAATAGTGTTAGACAATTGTGTTTCTGACTTAGTAGTCATACTATCATTGGTGTTAAATTGTACTAACTAGAAGTTTGAATGGTTTCTTTACTTGCACAGATGGCTTACTCAGTATTTGATGCTGGAAA